TGGTCAGATCAATGCAAATATCAACTCATGTTTTTACGCAGCAAACACATAGAGTAGTTAAATGTGCCTTCTAAAAATCTAAACAATTAAGACGGTAATATTTATACGTTTTAAATTGAGAATTTATATGCTTGATTTATCCCTTTTCATAAAAATGGTCTAAAGGTAAACGGGAGCGAAAAGCTTTGCTCTTGACATGTAAACATCATAATGTGAATAAGTCCTTACTCTGATTATTGGAAATAATTGCATTATTCGTGTGCATGTAAACATAGTCAATGATGTGACGCGATCAAATAGAGGCGTGCACTAATGCAGCAAACATGTCTGCAGTGTGGAAACATTTAAACTGTCCGAGAAAGACGCAAAAATCATTACAAGCACCGAAAAAAAACGCTGATGGGAAAGTGTTAACGTTTGTCATTCCCAGCACTCTGTATTGGGGTTCTAATAAACCTGTCAGGCTTTATTTTGCATTAACAAACGACTGACTGCACATTATTTGTATTTACTTACCAAAAATGAAGTCTGTGAGATTGGTTTACTAAAAGACAAGTATATATTGAATTAAGCTTAAATTATTTTAGCTCAAACCGAGTGCTTGTGAGTCAGAAGCAGACCACTCTTTAAGATCTCTTTAAGTAAATCAATCTCACAGGCTTTAAGAGCAGAAAGACTCTGTTCATTTTGTAGAACAGTAACTATTTGGATAAAATGTCTTTTAAAACAGTGTACATTTTTTTTGTGTACCGCCTGAGGATGCTCTTGGTGGTTCGTGTATCATAGAAACACTTCTCTAAATAACTACCCTTAAAATACCACAGTGCCACAGTATGTGTGAGCGAGAGAAGTGTGTGAAGTCATGACGCTCCGAACAGATCACACATGAACAAACTCACCCCTTTTATCACTTTTCTCTGTCATTTTCATTAAAGTATTTTTGCATATTTTAAAAACAAGTAGGTAGGGCTGAACAATTAACTTTTTTTTTATCGTGATCATGATTTCTGCTTTTCTCGTTGACGCATAATCGCCTGCAATTATTTTACACTGGTTATATCCTGAAAACGTTTCATTTCACATTTGTGTTATCTTGCATCATTAACAAGCCCCCACAAGCGTTGATGGTTGCGGTTTACAAATATCAAGAGTTGAAATCCCCTAATAAGAGCTTTTCTCTTAAAGGTGCAGTGTGTAATATTTAGGATCTATTGACAGAAATGCAAAATAATATACACAACTATGTTTTTAGAGGTGTATAAAGACCTTACATAATGAACCGTTATGTTTTTATTACCTTAGAATGAGCAATTTCTATCTACATACACCACAGGTCCCCTTACATGGAAGTTGCTATTTTGCTATTTCCGCCATATTTCTTACAGTAGCCCTAAACCAGGGGTGGGCAAACTTGACCCTTCCAGGCCACTTTCCTTCAGAGTTTAGCTCCAACCCTAATCAAACATACTTGAACCAGCTAATCATTGTCTTCAAGACTACTAGAAGGCTACAGGCAGGTGAGTTTTATCAGGGTTGGATCAAATCTCTGCAGGAAGCCTCTTTGTCGCCATCTCTGTTTGAAAACCTGCAATTGCAGCTGTTTGTGGAATTATCTTCTTTGTGTGGGTTGTGCACTGCACGGCTCCAGCGTGGATGAATCTAATGTTTTGAGGAGTGTGTGTGTGTGTGTGTGTGTGGCACCGCACCGGTGTGGATATTTACTGTACTTCACAATCACAGATTCTAGCTACGTCTTGGAATATATGACCCAAATA